TTATTAGATGCATGCGATTACATTTTTTATGCGTCGTATTTCCGTCCTGTCGACTCCGTGTGCTGTCATATATATATATNTGTGTGTGTGTGTGTGTGTGTCTGTGTGTGCGTGTGCGTGTGTGTGTACGTGTGTACGTGTGTGTGGGGGGGGAGGGGGCGTGCGTGCGCGCGTAGTATGCGCGTATGTGCGTGCGGCGTATGTGCGTATGTGCGTATGTGCGTACGTGGTACGTGTGCGAGCGCGCATGTGCTTGGTGCGCGTGTGTGAGTGTGTGTGTGTGGGTGTGGGTGTACGTGCTTGCTGTGAGCGAGTGCGTATGTTTATATCTCAATAATAAATTTTCAGTGCTGCACACACACACACATATCTATATTTATATATATATATAATTTTAACGTCGTTGATGAGATTGTTTTGGTTCTGAATCGAAATTTTGTTAGAACAAAATTAATTCTTTCCCCTTCCTCCATTCTCCGCCTATCGCAGTCATTAACATGGTCGATATCATAGATAGGTCGCTATAGTTTCCTGCTTCATAGAGGTTGTGTTTATACAGCTCATGATCACCAAACATGCGATGCTTTCAGGCTAGTGATGTCACGATCATCGATTATACTCGATCATCGGTTGAACAGTGGCTCGAACCAAGCGCTTGGTTATCAAAATCCATAATCGATTTCATCGAGAAAATAATAATTTCATCGAAATTTTGTTGTTGTGGAAAAAGTGATGAGAATCAGAGATATCATCGCTACTATACAAGTTATCCTTTATTAACATACATGTATTACACACACAGTAGTAAACAGTAAACAGGGCTAAACAAGCACATACAAGCACACACGTACATGCACACGACGTTACGCACACGCAGGCATTCAACACCCCGAGTAACCGATTGTAACCGATCATCGGTTACTTGGGTCCAACCGATGATCGATTACGAAATTACAACACTACTTTCAGCCCATACAAGAGTACAGGTTATGCAGGTACGCGTGCGTGCCCACAGCTACTCAACTGCTCGTTAGAAGGCACTGAAGCGCAGGCGAGCAGCGACCGTGGCCAGATTGCCTCGCAGACGCAAATCCGCACGCACGCGAACGCAGCCAGATGACAGACGACATTCAATTTGCTCGGTAAGGAATGCGATGGTATGAGTAGTGATGTTGGGGGCTGGGGGGGGATCGCGGAGGTGCCAGGCTCTATATGTGTCCATAGTATGTGTCCATGGTATGTGTCCATGGTATGTGTCCATGGTATGTGTCCATGTGTCCATGGTATGTGTCCATGGTATGTGTCCATGGTAGAGAGAGAGAGAGAGAGAGAGAGAGAGAGAGAGA